CATGTAAACCACGCGGGGATCAAATCACTCCGATTCGTTCCTCCCGTGCTCTTTTCGAAAGCGGAATTTGCGGTAACGGAAAGGCAGTGTGAGAGAGGTGGACAATGCAACGGCAATTGCAGCATACACCTCGCGACCGGCACAAAACTGCTTCGAACAAATCGGCCGTTATTTATATCGGTCCACCGAGGTGCTCGCAATATTTGACTTTTTCACTTAATCTCGAAAAGAGCAATCTCGGCAACGAGAAAGAAGAAAAAAGAAGAAACAGAGAAATAAAAAGATAAAAGGAAAGAATTTCGCTACTGATAACAATGCTATTCGCGTGGCGCAATTGATGCATAAATCTGAGATATTTGTTATTGCGGGTCGTTTCGGAGAAGGATCGGCCAGGGATTCTCGGCGTCAAACACGACACTTCTCTTTTTTTTTTTTCTAGTAAATTTTATTAAACAGTATAATTTTGCACTAATTAATTCAGGCCATGACAGATGTGACTGTAAGTCAAAATCTTAACGAGTCCCTGCTCCTAACATCAGTCTCTCGTTTTTATCCTGTTTCGGACGACCGGTCCTTGCAGCGTAATCATAATGATCGTCAGCGTTCGCAGTATATCTTTAGGTCGCGCGGTAGCTTTCCGCGTAAAGACCGCGCAAGATCGCAACCCAGTTTGGCAATTGACATAATCTACTTAAGGCATAATATTAAGTGAATTGGTTACAAAATAAATACACGGTTACACTTTGGCAATCGCTATCAATTAATAAAAGTAATAATAATCGGATAATAAAGTGTCGCTCGCTTGCCGCAACCCGCTTCATCAGCGGTGGACGCGATTGCGTTCTTGGCGCTCGCGACGTATTTACTTATTATTTCATCGCGACGATTTCCTTTTTCTCTTTTCGCATTGCGAAGAAGAGAAACATTCTGTCAATTTGTTAAGTGATTGAAAAGAAAATGGAAAACCCAAGATATGATATTCTACGTGCTCTCATCTCTGTACTCTATATACCTTTGTATAATATCTTCTGGATGGAATCTGCTTAAATTATGTTAGCGCGCAGATAAGCTTGCGACGGAGGAACTCGCGGCTCTAGTCGGAATTTGCAGAATTTCCGTCAAGTCGGTAAGCGGCGGTCGTCGCGCAAGCACATCGCGAGGGTATAAATATAACCGAGCTATTTACGTACGGTTGGGTATTGGCATTTCGTTATTTTGGCCCAGGCGACAGCGCGGAAAAGCCCACGGTCGACGCGTTTTTTCACCGGTCGCGGGACCGCATCGGGGTGGCTGCACGCCTACAATCGGAAAACAAGCCCCGCACAGACTATCCACCGAACGATTTCTCTCATTCCCTTTCCTCATACTTTGCACCCTTTGAACATGCTGACGATAAAATCTCGTTGATTTAACTTTTGAGGACTTATCGCGGAATTTATCCCGCAGATTACCCCGTGCGACGCCATTAAAGGAACGGAATATCGTCGCGTCACGTGATGTATATTTTAAAATAAGCATGTAGGATCGCGATCGCGAAAAATTTAAGAATTTTTCTGCTCTTTTCTTGACATTGCTGTCAGGATGCAGTATCTTCGTAACATTATACGTTAAAACGCGACGTTATTTCGCGACATTATTTTGCGTCGCGAATTTATAGAATTTCTCTCGATTAGAGTCGCACTGCGGGGATTTGAATATTGAAGATGAGACACGACAGCTTTGGGTGAATTGAGATTTCCAAGGACATCGGCCACGTACTGTCAAACTTCAGTTTCATATTCACTTTCATATTCTCTCTCGAAGAGGAGCTCTAAAAACGGCGGACGATGTATCACGTACTCTGCATCGTCATATCGCAAGATGATATTCATCGCTGAAGGGAGTGCGACTTCCGAGCAAGAGCGACAAACAAGACGAGATTGATTCTATTGACGTCGCGGTGGATCTACACGATTTGACTTATGGGACACCAACTTTCGATTGCTATAACTTGTGGCAATGAGGATGAACCAGGGATATTTTGTTACACGAGTAACTCGAACTTCTTTCATCTTTGTTGCGCATTCGAGCACTGTACCGGGATTCGTAGAGAAAGCAATAGTTCTGTTATGTGACTGAATCTTGGATCTTATTATTTGAGAGAGCTATCTCCTTCGGGATGAAGTCCAAGATCCCGCAGATCTGGGAAAGCCTACAGTCACGTAAATCCCACATGCAGAGTTCCAGGATTAATGAGGCGGTGGGCACAAAGGAGGGTAACGAAGATACTCGCTAACTGGAGCAAGGGTCGTCGGGGCGCCTTACCATCTACAACTCGACGATCGTTAGACGAGCGTTCTGCGCGATCTCGTATTTGTGTACTTTAATTAGTTTCCGGGAGTCGAAATCGTTGCCGCAGCATCCTTTGAAATTATAAACTGCAATCGGATTAACTCTGTTTCCTAGCGTCTCTGCTCGTTTATAACATAAATATCACGGACCGGACATATGCGCAGTTCGCTTCCTATTTATAATCTCGTGCACGCCAATAGCGTCCTTCGAATTTAATGAGCTGAATTTTCGGCGTGCCTGGTTAGAGTTAATAACGCTGCGCACATTCGATATTTTCGGCTATTAATAAATATGTCATTTGGATAGCGATTCGTTTTCACGTTCCATCTCGCGTCTCGTAATTTCCTCACAAGAGGATGTTACCATAAATAAAACGAATCAAATAAACGAAAATATGTCAAATGCAAATTACTACAAAAATCTACTCGACTCTGAAGCATTGTTAAACGCACTGAAGCATTGTTAAATGTTTATCTTGAATTTGATTCTGACACGAATCGTAGATAGAGGGGCACGCAAGCGATATAGATTTCAACTCTCCCCCCCCCTCTTTCTCTCTCGCTCTTTTTCTCCCTTCCCTCCCTCCCTTCCTCCCTTCTCTCTTTTCCCTCTCCTTTACTGTCCCCCCTCCTCCTCTCAACTCACGACGGAAATGTAAAACGGCAATTAGGCGATCGGCGATAATTTATAGCCGCGCACACCGAGTGCACTTGCCATTCGTATCGAAGCGTAAATCACTGCTAATTTGCGCGATGCGATTACGCCGGCGAGAATCAATCGCCGGTATAAATTACATTCTCTATTCGTGCGCCATTGGAATGTGTATTATGCATTCGCGAGGTACATTCGTAGCGCTGAGAACAGATTAAAACGG